CATGTTATAATATAGCCATCATCAAATGTTAATAATCTTTATGTCATAAATCCAGATACTGGATAAGAAATATCCTTAATATCTCCTAGTGTGGTAATATTTGGCCCAGTTAAAAGACTAGCAACATGGTGTTTTGGTGCTGTTTGCTAAACCCCAGTTTGTTTAGATGCTTTAGAACCACTTATAACTCATTTGTACAACTACTGTGTATCCCAATTTGACTTAATTTTACATTGGTTTAGTTACATTACATTTACTTTATTTCTGTTTAAAAATATTTAAGATACCATATTGTTAACTCTTGTATTTATTGTAAAGCCATACTTCTTCCCAGGCTGTCTTTGCTAATCTTTATCATCCTGTCTGCTAGAGCTTTTAGCCATCTTACATTACTGGACTGGATTTCATGAAGTATGCTGATGTAATTAATACACAGCACTTTGGAATTCTTCCAAGAAATAGCATAGTACAATGTAAAACATGAATAGTTTGCTATTATTTAGCTTTGACACATAACCAAATATATTTCTTATTTTAAGTCAAATTCACTTTATTAGAAAATATTTTGAAAGAATGTTAACATTAAGTTATAACTAGAAATATAAACATTCTGCTATTATGGACAAGACCTAAGTCTTCCTAACGTAAGAATGTTTTTCAAATGAATTGTGTGGACAGAAAAACTAATGTTTCTGATCACTCATGAGTTCTCACACAATTAAATAATCACAATTTTCTTTATAATGTTTCTTCATTTAAAGTCCATCTTTTGAACATGAAGTTCTAGTTTGTAAAATAAAATTGTGGAAAATCTATATTGCCATTGTAAATAAGGTAACATTAAAGTAGTAGAAGCAAATTGGAACAGTTACTATTTGCAAATCCTAAATACGTCTCTAGTGAAAGGGGTTTATACAACTTCGACAGTACTGCAGGAGTTTACCCCTAAGTGTCCTTCTCACTTTGCAAATCTCTTGTCATTCTTTCCAGTCCACTAATTAATTACTAGTTTCCCTTCTCCAAATTCGTGCTTCTTAAATATTTCTTGTTTATAGAATATTTAGGCAGATTTGCTTTGGTAATTTATAATTACATAAAACTGTAGGGTAGAGAACTTGATTTTAGAAAACAAATACAATGCAATATAATATCAATAAAATGCCTATTCAACTATAGGTAAACTAAGCCTAAGATTGTTACAAATTTATGATGACAAAATTCAACTAGGATTGGCTCAATCATACTAACCTGTATGTGTGATTCTTCTCACCTACTCTTGCAAAAAGCAATGCACTTAAAATCTTCTCTATCTTCTCAAATTTCAGACAAAACACTAAACTTCCAGAATTAGGCAACCACCTTTCCTTCTATTACATAAAGAAAAATAAATCATCAGAGATCGAACATGTTTAATTCATCATATCAAACCTAGACACCTCCTGCATCTGTGACTAAGCCTTCCTGTTCCCATCTGTTCTATTACAGAGACTGGTCTTTCTGCTTAATTTTTGTCCCCAATTATATTCTATCACATCCACCCTTTCAATAACCTTATACAATCAGTCATGCTCTCTCTTCTTTTTATCCTAATCCTCTCATTTTCTACTATGTATCTTCCATCATTTATATATTCTTAAATCTCAGTGATATAGATAATCATGTAGTATTACAAAACTAAACAAAATAAAGCAAAAAGTCAATAAACAACAAACATAATATCCCTATGGACTTGAGTTTCCAGCTACACACCATAACAGGCTTTTTATTCCTAGTCGTGTTTCCATCATGTAATTTTTCCCACTTTGTACATATCTCAGTCACCCTCTTCTCCTTCCTTAGATAACTTGAATTGGACTTTTAATCCCATATGAGCACCAAAAAATGTTTTATCTAAAGTCAGTGATTCTGTCTATGTCAATATGATGAATGGGCATTTTCTTAGACATAATTGTACTTGACTTCTCAGAATAATTCTATGCTCTTGAAAATTTCCTTCTAAATAATATGTTCTTTGGAATTTCATAATTCCTTGATCTCTTGATTTTTCTCCTTTTATTTATGCTTCCATCCTCTTTTGTTGGCTAATTCGACTTTATATTTTTCTTATACATTTTGCAATACTCAGTTATAGATCAGTGAGCTCTACTCTATGTTCTAATTTATAGAGTGATAATTTATACTATGCTAGTGGGTTCAAACTTTATGTATCTGGTTGAAATATGTCCTATGAGTTTTATCTACCTACTTTGAATCGTTGGAATCATAGTCAAAGTAATTTCAAAGTTGATATGTTTAAAAATCACACATGAAAATTAAGGTTTATTATCTCTTAAGAGACAGAGTAACACAGGGTGACACTAAGGATATGCACAACTAGAAGAATGGAGTTACCTGAAACTAAGATGAAAAAGATGGTCAAGGCAGTAAGGAAAGATCAGAAATTCAGTTTGAAACATTACAGACAGGCCATGTTATTAGAAATCCAAGTAGGGATGTAAAAAGACAGTTGAATATGTGAGTCTGCTGTTCGATGGTGAGGTTGGTTTAGATATATAAATCCTTAGCTGTAGAATGAAACTTAAGGCTAGGAGATTAGATAAGATTGCTAAAAGAATGAGCTATATGGAAAAAAGACAAGACCTCAATGCCTAGGATGCTAGTGCTTAGGAAAAGAGGAAGCAGTAAAGGAGACTCAGTAGGGGTAGGCAGGGAACTAGAAGCAAATCTCAGAGAGTGTGGCAGTGCTGCAAGACAGGTGAAGAAGGAATAAGTAGGTATTTCTATCCTTCTAGCAGCTCAGACCCTTGGAGTCATCCTTGTTGGCTTTCTCACAGCAAAATTTTAATCTGTAAGCAAACCTTGCTCTAAGTAGGTATTCCAAATACACTGCTACCCCATTGTTCCATGTTTTTGTCACAGCCCACCTGGATTACTGCAATACTTTCTTTAATGGCCTCCCTGACTTTGCTCTTGCCCTTTCAACCTATTCTCAATAGACAGCCAAAATGATTCTATTTAAATGTAATCCAGATAATGTTACCCCCTGAGAAGAAATGTATATGTTTTCTCAGCTATGTCAGAGTAAAAACCAAAGTCCTACCAAATTATATTTCCTACTAAATTTCCTTCCTTCAATCCAGTCCACACACAGTGGTCTCCTTAATATTTTTGACAATGCTAAGAACTCTTGCATCTGACTGAGGACATTTGAAATTTTTTTCTCCCCTAGGACATGTTTTTCACATATATATGCTTGGCTCATGCTCACCTCATTCAGAATTTTATTCAAAAATCAATTTATCCCTGTGGCTATACGTATAATTGCAGTCACTCTACTCCAACACTGTCACCTTCTGTAGCATATCTTTTCTGAATAAAATTTATACAGTCTGCTCCATGAGGACACATTTTTTTTTTTTTATTTTGTTCATCCCGTATAGTCTTATCACCAGGAATAGTGTCTGGCACATAAAAAGTGATCCATACATATTTGGTGAAATAATGAATGAATAAATGACTGACTGAATGAATGAATGTTAATAGAAGAGAGAGAAGGAGAGAGAGATTCTCATTAACAAATGTTCTTTCGGAATACTTAAGCCTGCTAGTTATATAATTGTGAAAAACTAATGTATTTTTAATACAAGTAATGCACATTTAAATTTTAGTTTAAGTGACCAACAGATACTCTAAATTAAACAATTAATAAAGAGCAGAACAGAATTCAAACACAGAGGTTGGGTGAATTCAGATGAGAGAATTAGAACACCAAGTTTTAAAGCCTAACAGAATTATATCACTGGGTTAACTGATTCAATAAATACACATTTGTCATTATGCATTTTATTCTCAAATTCTAAATCTTGGATTCATGTTTGCAACAAAATCAGTTCTTTATATTTTCTTACTCTTTTGCCAAAATGTATTGGCATTCATACAGTTCTGCAGTTCATTTTATATGTCATTGTCATTTTTTTCTTAGAAACATATTTCAAAGTTATTTTCAGTGTGAGACCCTGAAACTTTTAGACAGAGTAAACTGTGTTTGCATATTAATTGAGAAGTTAGTGCACAATATCCACTTTAAAAGTTGAAAGCAAGCTAATTCTTTTGGGGTTGCTTGGTAACTAATAAGGAGAATGTCAAACTGAAAGACAAGTTTGACTGGAGCAGCTTTTGAATAAATAATAGAATTGTTGTCAACTTTAGCCTTAAAGAAGTGAGATGGGGTCCAATTCTAAGTTAAACTAAAGCAAAGACAGTTGAAAAGTCTTTTGTGTTTTCTTAGTAAAATTCTCCCCTATGTTTGTGCCTAAACTTATTCCTTCACCAACAATTTATGATTAATGTAGAGCCATTGAAAGCAGATTCTGAAGGTATTATTTAATATCTGTTAGGAATAAATGGAATGGCCTAAGGCATTTGAGAAGCATGATTATTTATTATTCATTAACCATTTGCTTATTTATTTATAAATCCATATGCATACAATTTAGTGATTTCTTAGAGAACTATATGCCCACCAAGAGTTATTACTACTCCAATAAAATATTTTACATAGATGGGGTATGGGGGCTCACCCCTCTAATCTTAGCACTTTGAGAGGCTGAGGCAGGAGGATTGCTTGAGCCTAGGAGTTCAAGACCACCCTGGGCAAAATAAGGAAGCCTCGTCTCTACAAAAAATAAAAAAGAAATTAGCCTGGAATAATGATATGTGCTTGTAGTCCCAGCTACTTAGGAGGCTGTGGTGGGAGGATCACTTGAGCCTGGGAGGTCAAGGCTTCAGTGAACCACGTTCATGTCATTGCACTCCAGCCTAGGCAACAGAGCAAAATGCTCTCTCAAAAACATTATATGTAAATATTTTTAAAGGTGAGAATCATGTTCCTGGGAATATGTACAAAAATCATTTTGATCCTTCTGTAGTGAAACTTTATATGAAACTGTTGATCACATATTTACTTACATATTTTGACCTATTTTCTGTTTTATTTCCAGCAGGAAAAAAATCAAGAAAGTTCAAGAGTCAAAGGTAAGAAATGATTGCTTTAAGATAACAATTACATAAACTCATAAAAGAAAGAAAAAAGAGATGTGATGCTGCTTTGAATAAAAAGTCAAAAATGAGAAAATAATGATAATTAAAAATATTCAATGTAATTTTACAGCCATTTTGAGCCTTTTGAGGATTTTCCAGGGCTAATGGGTATTCTCTGTTGATGTTTTCCACCTTCATACAATGCTCTTAAAAACGTCAACTTTATTTTATTTATTCCCTATATTGTAGTGATTGAACTACTCCACCAACCATTTCTCCTACGAGTTGGTGTTGTGTCTCTTCTATGTATTGGCAAATGGACTTCCTCAAAATGTGTTTCATGGAGACCCAACTATGTAGTCACTGCCATCTAGTTAATTTTCTACAAAAAGGCTAGAACATATTTATGCATTAAAAGTTGGCGATAGCTCCTAGTATGCTAATAGGCCACATTATTCTAATGTTGGAAGACTCTTTTCTCTATAGTCACATTCTTAAATTTTGAAGTTTACTCATCGAGATAATAAATTAGTCTATGTAGATTGTCATCCTTCAATAAAAGGCTTCCATTAACTTGTGCTTCTGCTGATCATAATGATGGCACATCACAGACTTTTCTTAGGTTGTTCCCTCTGGCGTCTCCATTCACGTGTTGGCTCTTCTTAGTCTACATTTTGGGCTTCGTTGCTCACCTTTCCCTTCCCAAAGGCATCCCAACCCCAAGCCTGTCTAAGGAGTGAAGCACAGTTGTCCAGTTTTTTCCCTCCTTTTTGAATAGAAAGGTACGTGTACTGTTTTTACCTTTTTCAATGTTCTACAAAAATTTAAAAATGAACATGAAGTAGTTACTAAGATTACATGGTCTTCTGAAATGCTGAAAGGGTAGTTACACTTCAGAGGCTCTCTAGATTGTCGATACAATCTTGCTTATTTATAACAAGTCCAAATAAAATCCTCTCTGCACATTTCCCCACAACTGACTGATTTTTACAATGTATTTTTTTCCATGTTGGGTCATCTGTGTGTCTATATTGCTGAAGAATAAAAAACACATGCATTTGTATTTTTAAATAATTTTGCCAGATATATTTTGTTCAAATGAATTATGTAAGACTGTTCTTCCAGGGATTCCCAAACTATTTGTATGCATTTTCAGCAAACTGAAGTATTGTTTATTATTTTATATGTGAAATTATTACACTTATTTATCCTCCAAGCACTCATATTAACTCCAAGTTTTATACTTTTGTGTTGCAAAGGGGAATTTTTACTTCAAGATGTGCTGTATGATGTGCATTTAAACGATACATGCATTTTAAGTTTACTGAGTACGCATCTTCTTATGAAGGGTTTCAGGGTTTCAGGTTTATCTTAAATCATATTTGTATGCTGTTATAGCAAAATAAGTGTACTGTAGCTTTCTTCTTGATACTTTATTGCCTTGGGCTATATAAATCATATCATCTGAAGTAGTAGAAATTATGTTTTCCCAACTACTATCTAGGAACATGTTTTCTTTTATAATGCAATAACAATTTCAAGATGATGTTTGTCACTCCTTTCACTATTATTAGCTAGCACATGGTTCAGAAATTTCACATACATTGTGGCTTTTAGACTACTAACTTTTTTTTTCCTTTTTTTTTTTTGAGGTGGAGTCTCTGTTGCCCAGGCTGGAGTGCACTTATGTGATCTCGGCTCACTGCAAGCTCCGCCTCCTGGGCTCAAGCAATTCTCCTGCCTCAACCTCCCAGGTAGCTGGGATTACAGGGACCTGCCACCATGCCCAGCTAATTTTTTTTGTATTTTTAGTAGAGACAGAGTTTCACCATGTTGGCCAGCATGGTCTGGATCTCTTGACCTTGTAATTCTCTCGCCTCGAACTCCTAAAGTGCTGGGATTACAGGCGTGAGCCACCGCACCAGGCCCTAGTAAATCAGAGATACATGTTTACATGAGGACTTGTTGTAAATCAAGTCTGACTTTTAAGTAAATCAGAGATACATGTTTACATGAGGACTTGTTGCTTATCTCTACTTAGAATAGCACTACATTTTTCTTGACTATTTATGGGAATCATCTTGAAATGTTATTTTACTAGAAATTAGGAATGACCTCTTAAAAATGTATTCAGATGTTAATATTAAATGATAAAAACCCATTTCGAACCATGAAAGTTATAGCTTACTCATTGGCAGATGACAAAAATTCTGAAAATCAAATATTTTGTGTTCATTGATTATTAATTATTGAAATGTGAGCTATGTCCTCATTTGATATTAATAATCAATTATCAGCTAGCAATTCTTTGAAGTTCCTAATTGTTAACCTCATTTATTCAAGCACATTTATTACATTGTGAGGAGTATGTCTAGAAGAAGTCTTATTTTCTACATTCTGTGCCTATTTCTGCTAATGACAGCAACCTCAACGTAATGATACCAGTGCCCTGAACTTTTATTAATAAATAAAACGTTTGTTAAAGATAACCTTCCATAAAATTGCACTGAAGATTATAACAGAAAAATGAGATAGTCCTACAGATTTGAAAGAAAGGATCAACTACCAGGCAGCCATATTTAGTAAAGTGTTCTTCAGTAATACAACAGATAAAACATGTTAAATATTATACATTAGTGCTTAAAATGCATTGAGAATTTTATAACTATTATTAGACCATGTTTTCCTTTGAGGAACATATCTAAAATAAGAAACTCAATAAATTAGTTCACCCCTAATATTTTTTAGGAAGTATTTAAATTTATGATTTCTTTATTCACTTATATTTGAGAGCATCTCTCTAGAGTTCTCAGAGAAAATGGTAATAGAGTTTGAGATTTAAGTAATTATTGGTTTACAAATAACTTACAGAGTCTGTCAACTTAATAAAGTTTTTAATTTTCAAAATAATGTAAAAGATTTATGACAAAAATAATGATAATATCCTTTGTGGAAAGTGCCCGGACTACTGCACTCTTGTATGCTCCTCAGTATCAGCCTTACCCTTGCTCTGTAAATACAAGGATGTTGGACTGTCCATCCACCGAAAAAGTTCAGTTGCTTTTATTGCAAAATTATCTCCTCCTGCTTTTTCAGGTGGACACTCTTGCCTTTATGCATTCAGAAGTGATAAAAATAAAGTATGATTTTTTTTCATTTCCAGTTATATTTTGGTTAAGACTTTGCAATTAAGAGACACTGAGCTCTAAAGTTATTTCCCTAATGAGCACTTCCATATAATACATTTTAATACTTATATTTTTGTAAATATCTATTAGATTTCAGACATTGTATTGAGTTTTCTACATATATCATCTCATTTTAATGTTCAAATACATATTATTAAATAAGACTTAGCATTCATACATGCCAGAATTTTGAGAAATCATATCCAAAGTATATAATTCAGACTGGGCATAGTGGCTCACACCTGTAATCCCAGCACTTTGGGAGACCAAGGAGGGTGGATCACTTGAGGTCAGGAGTTCAAGACCAGAAGACCAGCCTGGCCAACATGGTGAAAACCAATCTCTACTAAAAAAAAAAAAAAATTAGCCAGGCATGGTAGTGCATGCCTATAATCAAGAGGCTAACGTAGGAGAATAGCTTGAAGCCAGAAGGAGGTTGCCGTGAGCCGAGATCGTGCCACTGCACTCCAGCCTGGGTGACAGAGCAAGACTCTCTTAAAAAATAAAAATAAAAAAGTAAATAATTTAGATCAATATTGCCATTTTTGTTCTTTCCTAAAATAGATCATGTTTTATTTAACAAATTACCAATTGTACATTAGGTAAATTTAGCATACTGTTATTAGTGATAGTTTTTGTTATAAATGTTATAGACATGAATTTTATTATTTATGTATTATTTTCCTTTAATCATATGGTTATAAATATTGACTGTCTTGAAAATTTACATAAATACTCTTCAGTGCTTCATAACTTTAAGAAAAAATATCGATGATGATAAACACGTCACAATAGTGTTCTAAGAAAGTATCTAGGACTTGTGCCAGTTTGTTTACTAAATACTTATCTTTGAGAAATGACTTAACCTCCCTTGATATGATTCATCTTTTTTGGTAAATATTAGCACAACATACCTATGGTATTAAAAGTCCTTTACACATAAGATATTCTAAGGCTTATAATTTTAGAAGGACATTAAACAATGGTATTATTATAAACATTTATCTTTCAAAACTCTATAATCCTCCATAAGCTCAATGAGACAAGTATTATGTCATATATATCGGTGAACATGAAAAGGGGAAGCCACACACTTGTTCTTCCTATAAAGCAAATGTTCTTATGTATATGAAACCATAGGAAAATATTATGCTAAGACTATATCTAATCAAATTAAAAGTGTGTATTTGGGACAATAAAGGTATTATGGCACCTGCAAGCTACACACACATACCCACACACATACATACACACACACACTCTCTCTCTTACATACATATACACTACTTTCAGTTTATTTTTATGCAGCCATATGTTCAGATTCTCCTTTATTTTCTTTATTGTATATTGGCACCTCAGAGCACTGAAAATCACCTAATGTATCCAGAGATATATATTTATATCAATCAAATCAGAGGGGTGTTGCTGTGAGAATGGAAATAGGGAACTCCAAATCTAGAATAGCCGAATATTCAGAGCTCTTTCTAGTAGATTAATCTCACAGTTTCTGAGGTTGCTCACTACTTCAAGGTGAGGTAGCCAGTCAGAAACGGTGAATAGATAGAAATGGGCCTTCAGATTCTTAGTACTGAAAGTCATTAGCTATATTACATTGACTGATTAAAATGTCATGTAAAACTGAAAGATGGTAATTCATGTATTTTAGCCCTATATGAGACTCTGTATAATTATTGCATGTCTTTATATTTATAAAATACAATATAGCCAGTAGCATAAGTAATACCTGAAATGGAGTTTATTACAATTTCATGAAATGCTTAGTCACTATATTTTTAGTGAATTGCA